AGAAACCATATAGTAAGTTGAACGGGAATGTTTAAAGCACTATTAACTGGTCAGGAGTAGCCACTAAGACGTAAAGAGAACTCTAAAAGAGGCAAGTAGCAGACATAGGGAGCAGCTTCCTTCTCTAGGGATGAAGTAGAGTGCTGAAAGGGGCAAATTTAGAAGAGTCATTCAAGTCTGAAATTTAGCCCTTATGAGAGGGTATAGATGTAGCCTGCTGGAGGGTCCAAGTGTGCTGAGGTGCACAGACAGGTTGGCAAGTAGGTACCCAGCCCTAGTCTGCCACTGCCTTGGAGAGCTGGCTGAGGGATGGAGAGAATGCTCTTGGGCGTCTGGTGCACTGGCCAAGATCTGCAGGAGCAGGAAAGGGAGCACAGGACCCAGGGAGGCCCCTTCCTCTGGCAGTGTCCCTCCAGCACCCTCTGCTGACAAAGCTTAGCACTGTGCCAAGTGTTTTCAAGGTCCAGCTCCAGTATTGCAGACAGTGCAATGAAGGCTGCAATTTATAGCTAAGAGGCAATTGGTAACTGGCACAGACAAAAGAGACTTCACCCTAGAGGGACTGCAGAGCCTCACAAGCAGGACCTGAGCAAGGTCTCATGGATTTAGAATGGATGTACTTTGTTGGAAGAACACAAGCTATCAGTGGCTTGGCCTGTAGGATAAGAGCTACCATGGAAGCCCAAGTGCATGACTCCAAAACTGCCTCTTCCAGCCAGGATAATAACCAAAAACAACACAGCAACCTAGGAGAATGGGCAGAAATTAGTACTGTCCTTACAGATCTAAAGATTCAGAAGAGGATGCAGTCCCTATCATATTTCCATTTAATTAATGGGTAGAACCTGGAGAACGACAGTGGGCAGTATTATCATAACCAGGTTATAGCCCCAATGGCAGCTGTTCTCTGGGTGTGGCACATGCAACTGACAAGGCCTCAGGTGCATGATGTGCAATTATTGATCCATAGATGTATCCTTTGTGTCCACATCAGGAAGGAAAATAGTTCACAATCACTCAGGATAAACAATATAAACTTGCACATTGCTCCAGAGTGATGTTATCAAGTGACCCACTATTTTGATGACATCATGCTAGTCTAACAGCATGAACAAGAAATAGCAAGTTCATTAGAGGTCCAACAGGTGGGAAATAAATCCTGCAATAATTCAGGGGCCCACAACTTTATTTTTTTTGTCAGCAGTGAATTCAGGGTCTCACACTTGCTAGGCAGATGCTCTTACTACTTGAGCTACTCTGCCAACCCTTTAGGGACCCCCAACAGCTGAAGTTTGGGGGAGTTCAGGTGTTTGGGGTGTGCTAGGATGTCACCTTGTATGTAAAGGACAAATTGCTGCATTTTCCACTTCCTATCACTAAGAAGGAACCACAGCACCCGCTAGGCATCTTTGGGTTTAGTGAGTAGGGGCAGCATATTCCACATTTGGGAATACTGCTCCAACCCATATAGCGAATGATGCTAAAAGCAACCAGTTCACATAGGGCCCAGAATAGGAAAGTGCTCTGACAGGGACAGGCAAGTGCCCCAGCCATATAGTCTGCTAACTCAACAGACTTGTGGTATTAGAAGTAAAAAAAAAAAGATGCTATGTGACATTTCTGGCAAGATCCCAACTGGAGGTTCATAAAACAGACTCCAAGAAACCTGGAGCAAGACAATGCCATCTGCAGGAAAGAATTATAAATGTTTGAAAAATTAAAATAACAAGAGACTCCCGCCATGCTACTGGCTCCTGGAAGAGATCAAGTGACTATGAAGCAAGAACTCCCCGGCATGGACTGGTTCTTTCAGGTCCACCAAGAGGAGGGCCTGAAGCCAGCCACTGTAAGTTGGAAGTGGTTCATTTGTATTGGATATGAGCAGACCAGTAAGCACAATCAGGTTACCTGAGCAGGCAGCCCCAGCCCCTGTGACAGCATTATTGTTTATACTAGTATTTCATAGGAGGAGGGGGGCAGGCTTAAGACCAGCTAGAAGAAGAGATTGAACTTTGTTCAAAATGGGTTGGCTCAGTACATGGTAAAAGCCAAAAACTAATTACAGGTACATCACAGCCTAATTCAGGCAGCCCTTGAAATCCATGGGGCAAAACTTTTGGCAGTGCACTTGTGACCACCACTTTGTATGGGAAGAGAAGTGGCTTCAAGACTAGAAAACACTGGGACCTGTGGGCAGTGATGAGTGGCTTGACTGGTTGGCCAGGGATCTGGAATAAGAAAGTTTGGAAGATCTGGCACAGAGTTCTTGAAGAGTTCAAGATGTGTGGGTAGACATATGGAATGGACATGAGGTGTCTCCCACCTATGAACATCCACCATAGAGGATGTACTAAAAAATCACATTAATAGAATGATTTGATCAGTTGACACCTGCCAGCCTCTTTTCTACACTGTACCAGTGCTGACAAATGGTTACTCGTTAATGTAGTAGCTATGGGACTGAGTTGGAGGCTGTGCCTGGGCCCATCATCATAACCTTCCCACTCATCAAGGCTGATGTAGCTATTATTTCTCTGGTGACCATCCAATCTTCTGACAGGGATGAGAATTTAGGTCACTTGACCATCGAGCCACTTAGACCATCAGAGTGCTAAGCCAGGGTGAGGGGAACTTACAGGGGGAATAGAAGAGGGAGATGGATATCATTTTCAATCTGAGATCAGCTGCAGCAATCAGATGTGGTTCATCCCATTGACCTTCCTTTTATAAGGAAGAGGCTCACTAGGTCCCACAGGTGCTGCTCCCAGAGTTTGTGTGAAGCCCCTGCGTTAAGTAGTGCAGTGTGGGCCATAGAGAGCATTGCAGATGCCCAGGCCATATGTTAAGAGCCACTGTGACAGTCCCTCCTGGGGACTGCTCCTGCTGTAGAGGAAGCATACACTTTCCCAGGAAATCCAACTACTGGTTGGTGTGTGCAGCTAGCGCCCTTGTTCTCCAGACTCAGAGCAGGGCCTGTCCAGACTCAGAGCAGGCCTTGAGGGACTGCATCTTAGCCAGGTTCTTCCTTAGCCTCGTCTAGCTGCTTCCATTCCCCAGTCGTCCTTCCGAATGCAAACCTTCATCACAGAGTTGGCCCGCCAGAGGATCTGATCTGTGCCAGTGTAGCATCTTTATGTGCATAAACAGAGAGATTTGGACATTGTTTTTGAAAAATGAGGTCATGATCCTTAGTCCACTGATACAGCTATAAGTCATTGTTTTCGTGGCTCTATTTCATCATGTTGATGTTATATCATTTATTTATTAATTTCCCTCTGAATTGGTATCTATTTTGTTTTGAGTCCTTTGCCATAATGTGTAATAATGCCATTAGTATTTGGCTTAAACCTCTTTATTGTTGCATGTATTTCTATAAAATGGATAGCTAACCATGAGATGTTTGGTCAAATGATTGATGTATTTTTCTTTTTAGTGAGGCTTTTCTCATAATAATAAGCTCATGTATATGCTCCTCTCCTAATAATAAGTTCATGCATCTTAATTTTGTACATCTAATTTCACATGCCTGTACCCAGTTTAAGAAAGAACAGTTTCAGCATCCCCAGAGTCCCGTCTTATATCTCTTTGGTCACTCCCCCTTCCAGTTCCCAAGAGTGATATATGTATTTTAATAAGTGTTGACTGTTTGCTTTCCAAAAAAGTAACGCATGAGACTTTCTCTTCCTTCTCCAATTATCTTATAGTCATGTGTCCTTACTTAGTGATGGGACACATTTCTGAGATATGCTTTCTTAGGTGATTTCATCAGTATGTGAACATCATAGAATGTGCTTACACAAACTTAAGATAGCTGTGATGTCACTAGGTAATATCTTATGGAATTAATGTCCATCACTGACCAAAGTATCCTTATGAGGGTCTAGTTTACATTTCCCTGACTACTAGTAAGTATGAATTCATGTGTTTGCTGTTGGGTTTGTTATTTTGTAAATTGTCTCTTCCTATCCTTTGCTAATTTCTCTATTGAGTTGTCTTTTCTTATCAGTGTATAAGAGCTTGTGTAATGTAAATATTAGCCCTTTTTGTCATTCGTGTTCCATATAGTTTCCAACTGTATTACTTTCTTTCAGATGTGGTTACACCAGCCTTGTCTATAAGTCTGTCCTTTTCATTGAATTGAAATTCTCCCTTTGTGTTTATTAAGTTCTAGTGTTAGTTTCTGGATTGTCTATTCCTGTTCAAATACTGTGTTGATTTGGTTACAGCAGTTTTAAAGTATGTTCTGATAATATAGCAAGGCAATTTGTTTACTTTAAAATTTTTTCTTGTCTATTTTCAGATATTTAGTTTTTTAAATTAAAATATCACTGTAAGGTCTCTCTAATTGGAATTGCATTGAATTTATTTTTGAAAAAATTAAACATTTTAATATATATCTCAATGCTATACCTTTCCTTTTGTACAAGTCATGTTTTATCCCATTTCATAAGAGTTTTTAAGTTTTCATTATTGAGGGTGTTATACCTCTTTTTTGTTAAATTTATCCCAGGAACTTTTTCCTATTGTAGATGAAATCTTTCTCCCATGTGCATTTCTTGATTGTTACTGCTCTGACAGAGGAAACATCTGTCACAGTGGTTAAGAGCACAGGCTTCCAGCTACACTGCCTGGAATTGAATCCTAGTTCCATCACTTACTCTGTAAACAAGAACCTAAATAAACCTTTAATACTTGCAAGTTTTCTATAAAATGTTGACTTGGGGTTTTCAGAATCAAGTGTCAAATGCAAATGCCAAGTAATCATTTTAAATAGACATTTTGTAATTACATATCTCTGTCTCTAGTTAATTTGAAGATACTTTATGTACTACTTACTGTAATGGTCCTATGCATTTTGGCTGTGAATTTTATTATAACTTTTAAGAAAGTTAATAATGAATAAATAGCATGATTATAGAAGTAATTTTCAATGTTTAGCTAACTGAATGATTTATATTTCAATGTTTCTAAATATCTTATATTTTTGTTGTTTTTTAAAGCTGCAAAAGTGATAAACAAATCCAGTGTTGGGTATTCAGTACTACTTGAAGATGGGAAGAATCAATTACTAGAAATAAAGGTAAATCATTGTAAATCTGAATAATTCTAAATATCTAACCCTCATTTGTTCAACAAATTCTTATTAAGTGTGTGTCCCACTATATGCTAGATACTGTGGATATTATGGTTTAAAAAAAAAAGAGTTCTTGTTTTTCAGGAATTTAATTTGGATGAGGGGGGGCAGGAGTTTGAGCTGTCTTTCTAAAGTAAGAAAATTGTATCTGAACTGAGGTCTAGTGGATGATTAGGAGTTGGCCAGCCTGAAAATTCCACTTTAGAGAGTGGGAGAATGACATTGAGAAATTTGGGAGCGCTCAGGGAAGGAGTTTGGGACTTTGGAGTAGTGGAACTAGGTAGTTCAGAAAAGCAGGGGGATAAAGTCCTCAGTGGGTGAGTTAAGCTGTTTGGACTACAGTAGGAGCAAGAAGAGGTCATGTTACTGAAGGTCTTTTTTTATTTTTATTTTTTTAATTGTTTTATTATTCATATGTGCATACAAGGCTTGGGTCATTTCTCCCCCCTGCCCCCACCCCCTCCCTTACTACCCACTCCGCCCCCTCCCTCTCCCCCCACCCCCTCAATACCCAGCAGAAACTATTTTGCCCTTATTTCTAATTTTGTTGAAGAGAGAGTATAAGCAATAATAGGAAGGAACAAGTGTTTTTGCTAGTTGAGATAAGGATAGCTATACAGGGAGTTGACTCACATTAATTTCCTGTGCGTGGGTGTTACATTCTAGGCTAATTCTTTTTGATCTAACCTTTTCTCTAGTTCCTGGTCCCCTTTCCTATTGGCCTCAGTTGCTTTAAGGTATCTGCTTTAGTTTCTCTGCATTGGGCAACAAATGCTAGCTATTTTTTAGGTGTCTTACCTATCCTCACCCTCCCTTGTGTGCTCTCGCTTTTATCATGTGCTCAAAGTCCAATCCCCTTGTTGTGTTTGCCCTTGATCTAATGTCCACATATGAGGAGAACATACGATTTTTGGTCTTTTGGGCCAGGCTAACCTCACTCAGAATGATGTTCTCAATTCCATCCATTTACCAGCGAATGATAACATTTCGTTCTTCTTCATGGCTGCATAAAATTCCATTGTGTATAGATACCACATTTTCTTAATCCATTCGTCAGTGTGGGGCATCTTGGCTGTTTCCATAACTTGGCTATTGTGAATAGTGCTGCAATAAACATGGTGTGCAGGTGCCTCTGGAGTAACCTGTGTCACAGTCTTTTGGGTATATCCCCAAGAGTGGTATTGCTGGATCATATGGTAGATCAATGTTTAGCTTTTTAAGTAGCCTCCAAATTTTTTTCCAGAGTGGTTGTACTAGTTTACATTCCCACCAACCAGGTAAGGGGGGTTCCTTTTTCCCCCCATCCTGCCAACACCTGTTGTTAGTGGTGTTGCTGATGATGGCTATTCTAACAGGGGTGAGGTGGAATCTTAGGGTGGTTTTAATTTGCATTTCCTTTATTGCTAGAGATGGTGAGCATTTTTTCATGTGTTTTCTGGCCATTTGAATTTCTTCTTTTGAGAAAGTTCTGTTTAGTTTACTTGCCCATTTCTTTATTGGTTCATTAGTTTTGGGAGAATTTAGTTTTTTAACTGAAGGTCTTGTGTAGGAAGTAGTGGAGGAGGCAACGAGGGGTGAAGAGAATGGACTCTACAGCAAACTGCTGTGCTCAGGTCCCAACCCCACTTTAACTTCGACCCCACTTTCTGTCTCTGGCTAGCAGGACTATGTGGCCCTAGGATTTTAAAAAACCTTGTGCTGCTGACATTTTAAAATTGAAGTTTAAAACATTTATCACAAGTTTTAAAAGTTGCAAAGGATATTATTTCTGGCATATTGTTGATACTGACACTTTAAAAACTGTCGTACCAAATTTAAAATGTGTCCACTGTGATTCAAATCTCACTCTAGCGACTTGATACCACAATCATCCCTTTAAAAATATATGAGCAGATCTTTGTCTGAAATCACATTTTTCTTTTTCTTGTTGATTTTTTTCTTATATACCCCTCCACAGAGTTTTGTGCTTCAAACTCTGTCCTTGGAAACCATATAATATTTCTCTGAATAAAAATGAGTATATATTTTAAATTTTCTATGACTTATAACCAAGTGTTAAAACACTTGCTTTCACAATTATTTTAGATTAATATTAATATACAGTCATTCAAAGCAATATCTGTATATTATAATTTTGAAAGTAAATATTACAAAGTGTGTTGTAAATGGATCCTGTAATGAAATGGATAGGGATGCTTTCTCTCTCTTGATTAGTTTATAGATCTATCAATGCATTGCTGGCATGAGGAAGAGGATTGCTGCTGAGCTGTGTTTTTAAAACATTAGAAGATTGATTAACATATTATGAAATAGTTTCAGTCATGTCATTCTCTTTATAACGGCTCTACTTGGAAGCTGTAGACTATTAACCCTCACTCACTCTCATGCCTCACGTTCATGGCATCTCTTGTCATATGCATGATTCCCAGACGGGCTGGTGGAGGCACTGTGAGTCCCAGGGTTCAGATGTTCACTGCTTTAGAAAGGCACCATTTCGTTAGAAAGTGTGGTCATGGGGCTGGAGGTGTGGCCTTGCATGCACAAGGCATTGGGTTCCATCCCCAGTAGTGTGCACACACACAGAAAAAGTGGGGTCACAGATAATGTGAAGTTTCTGCCCTATGAATCCATGTTCTAATAACATATTTTCCGCTTTTCTGCAGAATCCTAATTCTTTGTCAAGCCAGACATCAGGAGGGTCCATCATGCTGTCTTCTCAGTCCTCCACTGTGGGGCTCTCAGGGCAGCCATCTGCTGACCAAATGCGGAAGAGCACCAGCTCGCTGATGGTTTCTGGCTGTGTAATTCCACAGTGTGATCAGGAGGTTTCAGTTTTACAGAAACTGGAGCATAAGAGAAAGCATTTCCTAAAGGCAAATATAAATAAGGAAAATAAGGAAAGCATGCGTCTTAAAAGAAAACATATTGCATGTAGTAATTCATCGGATAAAACAAGTAAACACGTGGCATTGGGAGAAGATGCTGATGAGGCTGGAACATTTCTAAACTCTAGGCACTCAAGAGCATTTAAAAACCAGTTTTGTGATATTCGGAATTTGGATGATTTGGCCAAAAGCCAGTTGATGGAAATGCTAACGCAGGCAGCAGCCCTGGTAGTGACTCTGATATATAAAGATGGCTCCACCCAGCTAAGAGCTAACCAGGTTGGTAAACGGTGGTTGTTTTGGCTCCATAAAAGAAGTTCTCTTTCTCTGGGTTTGGTGGCACATGCCTGTAGTCCCAGCACTTGGGAGACTGAGGCAGGAGGATTACTTGAGTTTAGGAGTTCAAAATCAGCTTAGGCAGCATCACGCAACTTTATCTCAAAACAGCAACAGTAGGAGAAGCCTCTTTTCTTAGTGTCTAATTTTGATAGAACCAAAAGTAAAACTTTAAGCCTTCCCCTCCCTTTAGTGATAAGTGATTGACCGTGTATGGTTTCCATCAAATTTTTAGATAGTTGCCAAAATGCTATCTAGAGTGGGTACACCACTTTTTATTCCACCAAAAAAATGTATGATGGTTTCAAATTCTTCACCTCTTTGCAAATAGTTGGGTGTTTTTTTTTTTTTTTTAATTTAGCCAGTCTAGTGGGTGCAAAGTGGTATTTTATTGTGCTTTTAAATTGTTTTTGCTTAATAATGATGGCATTAAGCATACTTTGGTGTGTTTATTAGAAGTTCATGTAACTTCTTTGGTTACATTCATATTTTTTTGCTAATTTTGAAATTGGGTTATTTGTGTCTTTCTTTTCTTTCTTTTTTTTTTTGAAGTTTATGTGGTTTTTTTTCTTTTATTATTCATATGTGCATACAAGGCTTGGGTCATTTCTCCCCCCTGCCCCCACCCCCTCCCTTACCACCCACTCCGCCCCCTCCCTCTCCCCTCACCCCCTCAATACCCAGCAGAACTATTTTGCCTATTTCTAATTTTGTTGTAGAGAGAGTATAAGTAATAATAGGAAGGGACAAGGGTTTTGCTGGTTGAGATAAGGATAGCTATACAGGGCATTGACTCACATTGATTTCCTGTGCGTGTGTGTTACCTTCTAGGTTAATTCTTTTTGATCTAACCTTTTCTCTAGTTCCTGGTCCCCTTTTCTTATTGGCCTCAGTTGCTTTTAAGGTATCTGCTTTAGTTTTTCTGCATTAATTGTGTCTTTCTTTAGATCTAGTCCCTCATAAGATATAATTTGCAGTTCTTCTAATTGATGAGCTTTTTTTCTTTTTAGTTTCTTTCTTTTTTTGTTTTTTGGGGGTTTTTTTTGGCAGCACTGGGGTCGAATTCAGAGCCTCATATTTGCTAGTCAGGCACTCTACCACTTGAGCCATTCCACCAGCTCTCCTTTTAGTTTCTAGATAGTATCTTTAGGAAAAAAATTTAAATATAATGAACTCCAATTGATTTTTAAAAACTGCTTGTTCTTTTATTATTATATTTAAGAATACTTATCCCAGTCATGAAGATTTACTTCTGTTTTTTTCTAAGAGTTTTATAATATCAGTTCTTATGATTAGATCTGTGATCCATTTTAGTTAATTTTTATATAGGGTATGAGATTAGGGCAGAAATTCATCCTTTATATGTGGCTATCTAGTTGTCCCAACACCATTTGTTGAAAAGACTGTTCTTTCAATTCTAATTAATTCTAACTAATTCTCTTAGTACATTTATTGAAAATAGACTGACTGTAGACCTAAGAGTTGATTTCTGGGTGTTCAATTCTTTCTATTCATCTTTACATCTGTGCTGTGCCAGTACCACACTGTCTTCATTGCTCCAGCTTTGTAGGAAGTTTCGAAATCAGGACGCTGAGTTATCTTTATCTAGATGGTTTCAGCTACTGTAGTTCCTTTTGTGTTTCCATATAAATTGTAGCATTATCCTGTCAATACCCAGCTGGGATTTTGACACAAATCATGTTGAATCTACAGATTAATTTTGGAAGCCTTTCCATCTTAATAGTTTTCTGATCTGCGAACATGGGCTATCTTTCCATTTACTTAAAACATTAATTTCTTAAGCAATATTCATAGTTTTAGTGTAGTATGTATGTAAAGAGCAGAGGTTTTTTTTTTTTTTTTTTTGGCTACAGGTTATCTCTATGTTGCCCAGGAGACAGGCTGACCTGAAACTCCTGGGGTCCAGTGGTCCTTTTGCCTCAGCCTCCTGAACAGCTGGAACTATAGCCATGCCCTACCATGCCAGACCTTTCGTATATTTTTTTCTCTTTTGAGAGGCCTTTCATTTTTGAAAGACATTTTGTTGGCTAAAGAAGATCAGTTGGTCATTTTTTTCTTTCAATAGTTTAAAGATGTTGCTCCATTTTCTTCTAACTTACTCTCATTATAAAGTGATATATCTTGTTTAAATGTATTATCTGCTTAATTTTGAAACTTTATTTAATTGTCTTCACAGGCTACAACTTCCTCTGTTAAAGGAATTGTGATGTTACTCAAGAGCCGTATGGAAGACAGCAGTGACCCTCTGGACCCAGCCTGTGGCGGTGCTCCAGAGGAGGTCTGCGTGTCCCCAGATAGGTGTGTCTACATACAAACAGAACAGTCCTCTTCCTGTGGCCCAGAACAAGAAGCCCACAGTCTATTTGCCAGGTAAGAAGTCTACTCATTTCTTTAACTCCTACTTACATGTCTGCTTTATCCTAACATGGTATCCTAAGCTGCAGTTTTAATTATCTAAGCTTTTAGAAGTTTCATATGGATACATTGTTAGAAATATCTTTGAGATATTGGGTGTTCCTAGAGAGATGACACTACTCAGAAGTCAATAGGCAAGACAAAATTTACTTTTGCAGAAGGGTACACATCAGGAAGTCTGGGAGGCAAGCACATTGGGTGGAAAGTCCACAGAGGTTTTATCTGACGCCATGCTGTCCCTCTCCTGCCCCTGGATTGGGCAGGTTTTGGGCTCACAGTCTGTGGGGTTGGCTAAATAGAAAGAGATTGGCTAAATAGGTTAGGAGGGGGCTTTGGGAACAAAGAAGTTTAAAAGTTCAGAGATGTAATAACTGTTTTTGGTTATCAGCTCCAGAACGAGGGCATCTAGCAGAATTCTTGCCCAGCGAGGATAACAAGCCTTTGTTCTTAATAGAAACTTTTGTCACATTAAGCAGAGTCCATGAAGGGAGCATATGGGAAGCGAGTTAGTGAGACTAATTTGTAACAGCGGTGGTTACTGAGTAAATCCTTTGACAGAAAAGACCCCACCTAAGCTGATTCTCATAATTCCCCCCACCACTTTTTTTTATTTACAGTCTTTTCTTCAAATTTAGCTAATATTAATTGACTTTTGGTCAAGCCTAGCCACCTAGTGTCCTCATCCTTAGCAGACTAGACAATTTTAAGAGGGCCTCATTAGTTTATTTTGTCCTTGAGTCTATATTTTATGACTATTATTTATTATTTTGGTGAGACCCCTTTTTGTTTATTTTGGGAAAGTCTGTTGTGCCTCAGTCCCTCTGTGCGAAGCTGGGGTTTTTTTGTCTCCTTTATCTAAAATGAAGTTACTTTTATTATTTGTTCCTTTACATTCATATCCCTATTTTATTTTTTTCTTACATTTGTTCTCTTATATTCCCCCCCTCTCCAGAGGTAACCCTGACTTCTGTCAGGAAAAGGGGAATTGTCTTGAGGGGTCCCCAGACAGTCAGTCACGGTCTCTTTCGAGATGCCAAAGTCGGGGCGGGGGGGGGGGTGGTCTGTGAAGGAGTCCGTGGTATCAGGAGGAGGTCTAAGGCATGTATGGCTTTGTCTCCATCACCATCTGGAGCTTGATTGTCTCCAACCTTGAAGAAACAAACTTGACAAGCAGATTAAGAGACCAGGGTTGGAGTACAGGGAGAAACCAGGTTAGTGACAGTAGTCAAGATTAATTTTTTTTTATACTTGTAATAGGAGGTGTTGGCTATAGTACATTTTTTAAATATTTGAACCTGTGGGGTTTTTTTGTATTGAGTAGAATCACCATGGCAACAATACATTATCAGTATACATGTCCAAGACAAACCCATTGTTTAAAAAAGTTAAAAACACCATCTTTAAGTATCAAAGGACATGTCTAGAGCCAGTAAAAATAGACACTTTGTCTCTATTTAAGTAGAAGGCCATGGCTAAAAATATGAGTTTGTGCCTGAAAGGGCTTTAATGCCAGATAACCACACATGCTTAAGAACCATTTCCTCAATCCTGGAGGCTTTGGTTATTTTTGAGAGGTCTGGCACCAGTGACTCCATTTAAACTTTGACAGCACTCCCACCTTGTCTCCAAACTGTCTCTGAACAGTCTCCTCTCAAGATCTGTCTCCCATCCAAGTACTAACCAGGCCTGACCCTGCTTAGCTTTCAACATCAGACAAGACTGGGCACGTTTAGGGTGGTATGGCCATAGACTGAAGATCGTTCTCAATTGGTCATTTTAGTGCCAACTAGACTCTTTTGGCCAAATTAAAGCAATAAAGAGGCTTAGAAGGAGTGGCTGTTAGGCAGTGGGCTTCTAGACAAGGTCAATATAAAACAAAGTCCAACAAAAAGCAGTCATTCAGCAAGCTAACCCGATTGACACATAAGTACTTGTTAGAATCATTTTTCACGGACTTGATTGTAAATGCCCCAGAAGGATCAGAACTGTAATGACAAAAAACTTAAAAGAGCCACGGTTAAAATTCTGATGGACAATTTAGCAGTTAACAGAACAGTATATCAGTACCATTAACTTCTTGTTACAGTGTTTATCTAAATTTTGTATTTTAGAAGGCTTAATATACTTGAAAAACACAAATATATTTAATAGGAGCCAGCAACAGCATCACATCTCTATAGAGGTTTTATATATATATATTAATTTAGTTGTTACTCTTGGAGTAAAACCTTAGATTTCCCATCAGTTGGGGGGGTCAGTGTGTTAGAAATTAATATTCTTATTAAAGACACAGGAACAAAGAACTGTCTCAGCAATGCAAAACTTTACTTCTGGCCAGAAGGGTGCCAGCCTGCATGTGAGCAAAACCAGCACAAAGTGGGGCAAGCAGTCCATTCCCCCTTATAACCCTGACACAAATAGCCTGGATCTTGACCTGGATTGGCCCAGATCAAAAGTTCACAGTCTTCCTGACCAGATAGTGTAATGGGCAATTCTCAGGCAGAGGTGGGCTCAGCAGGAATCCAGACAAAGAAGCTGGAAATACAGGCAATTAAAATGGCAACATACACTTTGACAGAAAAGACTTGTTTTCTCACAAGTGTCAGTGACCCCAAATAGTCTATTACAGAAACATATAGAGTACTGACTGCATTAGAATCACCCAAGACAATAGTTGTTCAACCATAATTATAAGGTCATCTGGAAGACTTTACATAAACCAACACTTAAATGAATTTTTATTTAGTTATTTAGAATTTTTATTTAGTTATTTAGGCTCAGTTACCTCAGTAGTCAAATCCTGAGAAAAATCAACAGAGAACAAGTAAATATTCATAGAGACTAAGTCTGGAGTTAGGAAACCTAGTGGCCAAGAGTCATGGCTCAGATGTTAAGGGATCATATCTCAGATTGTTGACATTAACATGTGGCTCATGACAATAGAGCAGGATCCCACCAGCCTGTAGTCACTGGAGGCCCCCTAAAATGACAGGCCCAATCTGCTCATCCCAGGCCAAAAATTCCCTCCATCCAACATGTGGAAGGAGTAGAACTAACACCTCCACTCTGTTGATTTTAACAAAACAAACAAACAAACAAACAAAACTTTAGGTCTTAAGACCTCCAGTGTAGTGCTTTTTTAAAGTTTTTTCTTTATCCTATCTGGAGGGTGCACTTTGACTTTGTTTTTACTGTGCTTTATATAAGTAAATTTGTCCCAACCTCATATCAGCGCAGCAGCATTCCCTGTGCTCAGCTGCCTATCGCCTCTGTGTTTTAATAAACTCTTGCTGTCCTGATAAATTTTTGAATCAACCTGTAGTACAAAAATCTCTGACAGTTATCTTGACAAAACAAAAATCTTTTTCTTGAAGACAGATTTTTTTTGGTAAATGTTATTAAGACCAGAACTGTATTTTTGTAACAGTCTTATTGTTATGAGCTCAGAGAATTAAGTTTTAGTTTAACATCAGTACATTGAATTTTAACCTTACAAAACCTTTAATGTAACTTTTAGATTTTAGTCCATTTAATCATTTACATAAGCATTTATAAACTCCATTTTTTATGACAATATATTCTGTATTTTTATGATAACTTACTTTTTAATCCCTGGATGAGCTTGTCTTTATTCCTTTTTTTGGAGGGCAAGCCTTTCTTTGTATAATCTATATAAATCTTTATATAAAATCTTTATATAATCTATTTTTTATAAAAATGTTTTTTTAACCTTTTACTTTTAAAACCATATTTTAATACCTTTTATATTTTTGTTACTTGTTGGAAATAACTCATAAAACCTTTTAACTTAGAGCCTTATACTTGTATGAAAAAAACAGAAAGAAAGAAACCTTAAAATCATTTTTTGTATGAAACCAATTTACAGAAAGCCCATTTGTTAATAGATTCATGTATCATAAAAGAGAATTAAATTTCAGGTTTTATTTACCACAGAATAAAACAGACCAAGGTCGTTTTTTTAACTATCTAAATTTTAAGGTTTTTAGTTGCAGTCTGCTGCCTAGCCCTTTCCTTTTTCTCTAGTCTAAACCTGAGTGTTAACTCCTGAATGCCTGCATCTTAGTGAGACCTGATTGAAACAAGTTTGAAAACTGTTTTTTTTTTTTTAAAAAGCAGTAGAATAGAGAAGTAACAATTTTCTTATATTACGCTATAATAAGGATCATCCTGAAGATGTTTCCATATTTATATGCAAAAAAAGGGCTTAAGCAGTCTTAACAGAGATCTCCAACACAAACACCCTGTGCTTTTTGTTGTTGTTATTACCTTGAATATCACATTAACCATAACAGCAGTTTAAGAATCATTTTGAAGATACACATCTTCAAATGCCACAAAGTGTCGATTTAAGCAGGTATAAAATGTGCTGGAATTCCAGAAGCAAATTAAATTTTGCCCAATGCTCTTTTAGAGATATAAACAAAATGACACATAGAAAATTTGAGTGCAATTCCAGAAAAACCTTTTAAACCATACTCAGAGGGCTATTCAGTAGAATGGTATCTACTCTCTCATGAGTTTCCCTCTCTGGAACTGAATTTTTGTTACCCATCCCTTAATCTTGGCTGTGTGTTTCCTCAGGAAAAGGCTCAACCATGCATACTGGAGGTTTTTTGCATTTTACCCAAATCCCTGGGAAACACAGGCTCCCCACCACCATCCCCCACCCCGTGTTGAGGACTTCTTATATTCTACCCAAGGTGCTTCCTCTGCTTCAGGAGTCAGCCCTTGCTTTGTGTCCAGGACAAGTCCCAGTCACACCCACACAGCATCCAGGATGTCCAGACCTCCAGAGCAATACTCTGGAGGTACTCGACTTTCCTACCTTGGTCCATGTAGAGTTAACCTGGTCCTTCACTGTGCTTGCTTGGGCTGGTCCCTCCCGTATTTCCAACTGACTTTTGATTTGGAGTTCAGTGTCAGCCACAGAAATAGTGGGACCCCACCCCCCTGCCCAGCCCTGAGGCCACTGCAACACAGAAGCGGGTTGCTTCTCTTCTGAAGAGAGGGTCTCCATGGTTCCCTGGGTAGTGTGAAAATCCCAGACAGGTCTCCATGTTGTGAGAAATATCTTAGAGGTCTGCAGATAGGTGTGTCTACACACAAGCAGAATGCTCCTCTCCCTGGGGCCAAGAACAGGAGGCCACAGTCTATTTCCCAGGTAAGAAGTCTTCACTCATTTTCTTAACTCCTATTTATATGCCTGCTTTGTCCTAACATAGTCTCCTAAGCTGCAGTTTTAATTACTTAAGCTTTTAGAAAGTTTCATATGGACACATGAAAATAAAATGGATTTAAAAGATGGAAACCTACACAAACACTGGCCCCCTCTCCCAGAGCTTCTGGAATGGAGGGTCCGTGGACTCCATTCCAGGATTTGAATAAACTTCATAAGAGTAGTTAGGGATAAAAGCCTGAAACCCACTGTCCCTGCTCAGAAGATTCCTGGAGCTTTTCCAACCCAGCTCTTGCTCCCACTTTTGTCACTGCCTGCAAACAGTAGTCATCCTCAGTACCACCAAGGAGAGTACTGATCTTAAGCACCATGTCCTGAAAATAGAGTTGGGATATGATTTGTCCCCCAGAGGTTCATGTGCTAGAGGTGTGGTCCTCAGTGTGGCCCTGTTGGGGTGGTGGAACCCTTGAGAGGTGGGGCCCAGTGGAAGGTGGGCCAGTCCTGGGATCCCACCCTCACAAGTGGATTAATGCTGATCTTGCAGAGTGGGTTGAGTCTCTCAATAGTGAGTTCTCACAGTGGTGGGGTGTTATGAGGTAAGGCTACATGCTTGGCCCCTTCTGTATGTGACTGCTTCCCTTTCTTCTCCATCATGTTGTGATACAGCTAGGGACCCATGTCCAGGATGCCAGTGCCATGCTGTTTGGACTTTGCAGCCACCAGAATTGTGAGCCAAATGAACCTCTGTTCTTTATAAAGGGTCCAGCCTCAAATATTTTGTTATCCAATATAGAATGGACTAAGATAACCTGGTTCCTTGGACCTACCCCACTTAGAATCACAGAATTTTAGAGTAGGCAGGGATGCTTCTGATGCTCTTCTTGACCTCAAACAACCCTTTTCTGGATAGAGCCTGTACCCCTCCTCACTGTTTTTTTGTTTGGGTTGTCTGCTGGACTCAGTTTTCTCTTGGTTGGGGCATCCCTGCCTGCCCAGCCCTCTGAGTCCAAGGTTAGTTAGCCACAGTGGGATCTCTTTGCAGTCTCCTCTCTGAAGAGCAGTTGAGGGCCACTTTGAAGGAAGTGGGCTGGACACTAGTCCTCCTGAACCTCACCCAGGCTCACTGACTCTGGGTGGTTTTTAGAAAATTTTTGGAGATAAGAGACAATGTTTGACAAACATAGCACTTGACCCCCAAGACATCCTTAATCATCTTTTTACAAAATTTTCTTAAAAAAAATAAACAGGTCTATTCTATGTGGGACCCTTGTGAGAATATAGAGCCCTAATATTTGGGTGGCTTCTTTTGAATTGCAGAGTTACATATCCTCATATCCTGGTCTCTTCTTGGACATGTGGTAGTCATTTCAGCCTCCAATGTTCTTAGCTTCTACCTTCTCTGGAAGCTGCGCCTACAGCCAGCTGTCTTGTTTGGTGTTAGCACTAGCCCATCAGTCTTGTAATTTCAACCCAAGTGTCCTTTCTTAAACCTAAAGCTAGAATTTTTTTATTTTATTTTATTTTTTATTTTTGGAGGGATTAGGGTTTGTACTCAGAGATTTACAGTGTGAGTTACCACACCTGGGTTTCTTTTCTTTTTTTTTTTTTTTTTTTTGTGGTTGGGGTTTGAACTCGGGCTTTGCATTTGCAAAGTAGGTGTTCTGCCTCTTGAGCCATGCCTGTAGTCCATTTTGCTGTGGTTATTTTAGAGATGGGGTCTCACAAACTTATCTTCCCAGGCCAGGTGTGTGGACAGTAGTACAGGAGGCACCAGGAGTGGCTGCTTGCTTCTGAGAATAGCACTTGAGCAGGTTGCAAAAGTTGTGGAAGAAATATAGCCAAGAAGGAATAAGTGCAATAGCCAAGACTCTGAGAAGAAGTGGCACAGTGAGGTTGTAGAGGAGAGGACTCAGCATGATGGGAGGTTGGAATGTTTAGAGGGGGCTCTAGGGAGAAAAGGCTGGAGTGCTTTGGGGCCCAGGTCCAAGTGTGTATGCTCTGGACAGGAATTTGGGCATTCCTCTGCAGGAATTTGGCCTGGTGGAGTGGTTCAAGTGGTAGAGTGCCTGCCTCACAAATGTGAGGCCCTGAGTTCAAACCCCAGTTACACACACACACACACACACACAAAAAGAAAGAGGGGGAGGGAGGAGGGAGGAGGGAGGAGGGAGAGAGAAGGAAGAAGAAGAGATTCATCCTCTTTTGCTGGGTGCCAGTGGCTCACACCTGTAATCCTAGCTATTCAAGAGGCAGAGATCAGGAGGATCACAGTTCAAAGCCAGCCTAGGCAAGTAGTTTGTAAGACCCTATCTTGAAGAAAACCTTCACAAAAATAGGGCTGGTGGAATGGCTCAAGATGTAGGCCCTGAGTTCAAGCCCCAGTACCGTGAAAAAAAGAATAGTCCTGGGGCATTTACTGAGCCTCTGTGTTTCAACTTCATCTATCAAGTGCAGATAAGAAATAATGCCTGCCTCACAGGATTCGTTAATTAATTGAGGCATGTATGTGCCATGTAAGGATAGCTCTTAGTAAAGTAATAGCAGTACTTTCCAAGACTGACAGTTCTAAATTCATGTCTAAGTCAGTGAATTTCTTTCCATCCTTTAGGAACATACTGTTTCAGACTCTGAGATGCAAATGCCCTGTTGTCTGTTTCAATGCTAAGGACTTTGTGAGAACAGTGTTGCAGTTCTTTGGTGATGGTGGCAGTTGGAAGCATGGTAAGTTATTGTTTCAAATATAACTTCAATACTGCTTCCTCCTGGGGAGAGAGACACTAAGGGCCACGTTGATTGCTCCAGGGCACCTGGCCACACAGGACTTCACACACTAGGTAAGCACTCTACCACTTGAGCCACACCTCCAGCAAGAAATTCTTATTTCAAAGAAGTCCAATTCATCTGTTTTCTTGTGTGTTTTTCCTCCCCTTTGGTGAGAATGGGATCTGAACACAGAAATTTGCACTTACAAAGCAGGTGCTCTACTCCTTGAGTCACACCTCCAGTCCACTTTGCTCTTGTTATTTTGGAGATGGGGGTCTCAAGAACTGTTTACTCTGGCTGGCCTCAAACCTCAATCTTCCTAGTCATAGTCTCCCAAGTATTAGGATTACAGGCATGAGCCACTGGTGCCCAACTCTTGTCTTGAGTTTTTATGTCAAATCTAAGAAGCTGTTGTTTAATCTACTGGAGCTCACTTATTCAGTTTACTAGTTTTTTTCTTGAGAGTTTTATGGTTTAGCTCTTACATTTAGGTGTGTGACCTGTTTTGAGTCCAGTTCTGCATGTGGAAGGGCTTTGCATTAGCTTAAGGTACTGTAGCACATTACCATGAACACAGTTCTGGAGGCCAGGAGTCTGTAATCAAGATGTTGGCAGGGCTGGTTCCTTCCAGAGTGTTTGAGGATGAATCCATTCCTTGCCTCCATCCCAGCTTCTGGTAGTGGTTGGCAGTCCTGGGCTGCCTTGGTTTGTAGGCACTACCAGCATTTTCTCTTCACTGTGGGGATTTGTCCTGTCAACTTGGGTTTTTCAATTGCAAGAATTTATAAGGACCAACTCCCCACCCCAAGCACTGAAGCACTGTGATACCCCCCCAAGGACTTTCAAAGTATCTTTCAGTAAGAACTCTTAATTTTGGGACATTAGAGTTTTGAAAAGGCAAATATAGTGAAATAGTCCTATTGGGTCAGTCCTGTTACCAGACAGTATTGTGTGAAGTCATACATTGCTGCTTGTCAGCAGCCACAATGACTGTTGGCTCTCATCTAAAGTCCCAAGACTGCTGATATAAGAGTCATCTCATCAAAGACAAAAACCACTTGATCATCTCAATAGATGCAGAAAAAGCCTTTGATAAGATCCAACATCATTTCATGATAAAAGCTCTAAGAAAACTAGGAATAGAAGGAAAGTTCCTCAACATTATAAAAGCTATATATGACAAACCTACAGCCAGCATTATACTTAACGGAGAAAAACTGAAACCATTCCCTCTAAAATCAGGAACCAGACAAGGATGCCCACTATCTCCACTCCTATTCAACATGGTACTGGAATTCCTAGCCAGAGCAATTAGGCAAGAAGAAGGAATAAAAGGAATACAAATAGGTAAAGAAACTGTCAAAATATCCCTATTTGCAGACGACATGATCCTATACCTTAAAGACCCAAAAAAACTCTACTCAGAAGCTTCTAGACATCATCAATAGCTATAGCAAGGTAGCAGGATATAAAATCAACATAGAAAAATCATTAGCATTTCTATACACTAACAATGAGCAAACGGAAAAAGAATGTATGAAAACAATTCCATTTACAATAGCCTCAAACAAAATCAAATACCTAGGTGTAAACCTAACAAAAGATGTGAAAGACCTCTACAAGGAAAACTATACACTCCTGAAGAAAGAGATTGAGGAAGACTATAGAAAGTGGAGAGATCTCCCATGCTCATGGATTGGTAGAATCACATAGTAAAAATGTCGATACTCCCAAAGTAATCTACATGTTTAATGCAATTCCCATCAAAATTCCAATGACATTCATTAAAGAGATTGAAAAATCTACTGTGAAATTTATATGGAAACACAAGAGGCCACGAATAGCCAAGGCAATACTCAGTCAAAAGAACAATGCAGGAGGTATCACAATACCTGACTTCAAACTATATTACAAAGCAATAACAATAAAAACAGCATGGTACTGGCACAAAAACAGACATGAAGACCAGTGGAACAGAATAGAGGATCCAGATATGAAGCCACACAACTATGAGCAACTTATCTTTGACAAAGGAGCTAAAAATATACGATGGAGAAATAGCAGCCTCTTCAACAAAAACTGCTGGGAAAACTGGTTAGCAGTCTGCAAAAAACTGAAACTAGATCCATGTATATCACCCTATACCAAGATTAACTCAAAATGGATCAAGGATCTTAATATCAGACCCCAAACTCTTAAGTTGATACAAGAAAGAGTAGGAAATACTCTGGAGTTAGTAGGTATAGGTAAGAACTTTCTCAATGAAACCCCAGCAGCACAGCAACTAAGAGATAGCATAGATAAATGGGACCTCATAAAACTAAAAAGCTTCTGTTCATCAAAAGAAATGGTCTCTAAACTGAAGAGAACACCCACAGAGTGGGAGAAAATATTTGCCAATTATACATCAGACAAAGGACTGATAACCAGAATATACAGGGAACTTAAAAAACTAAATTCTCCCAAAACTAATGAACCAATAAAGAAATGGGCAGTGAACTAAACAGAACTTTCTCAAAAGAAGAAATTCAAATGGCCAGAAAACACATGAAAAAATGCTCACCATCTCTAGCAATAAAGGAAATGCAAATTAAAACCACACTAAGATTCCACCTCACCCCTGTTAGAATAGCCATCATCAGCAACACCACCAACAACAGGTGTTGGCGAGGATGCGGGGAAAAAGGAACCCTCTTACACTGTTGGTGGGAATGTAGACTAGTACAACCACTCTGGAAAAAAATTTGGAGGCTACTTAAAAAGCTGGACATCGATCTACCATTTGATCCAGCAATACCACTCTTGGGGATATACCCAAAAGACTGTGACACAGGTTACTCCAGAGGCACCTGCACACCATGTTTATTGCGGCACTATTCACAATAGCCAAGTTATGGAAACAGCCAAGATGCCCCACCACTGACGAATGGATTAAGAAAATGTGGTATCTATACACAATGGAATTTTATGCAGCCATGAAGAAGAACGAAATGTTATCATTCGCTGGTAAATGGATGGAATTGGAGAACATCATTCTGAGTGAGGTTAGCCTGGCCCAAAAGACCAAAAATCGTATGTTCTCCCTCATATGTGGACATTAGATCAAGGGCAAACACAACAAGGGGATTGGACTATGAGCACATGATAAAAGCGAGAGCACACAAGGGAGGGGTGAGGATAGGTAAGACACCTAAAAAACTAGCTAGCATTTGTTGCCCTTAACGCAGAGAAACTAAAGCAGATACCTTAAAAGCAACTGAGGCCAATAGGAAAAGGGGACCAGGTACTAGAGAAAAGGTTAGATCAAAAAGAATTAACCTAGAAGGTAACACACACTCACAGGAAATCAATGTGAGTCAATGCCCTGTATAGCTATCCTTATCTCAACCAGCAAAACCCCTTGTTCCTTCCTATTATTGCTTATACTCTCTCTACAACAAAATTAGAAATAAGGGCAAAATAGTTTCTGCTGGGTATTGAGGGAGGGGAGAGGGAGGGGGCGGAGTGGGTGGTAAGGGAGGGGGTGGGGGCAGGGGGGAGAAATGAACCAAGCCTTGTATGCACATATGAATAATAAAAGAAAAATGAAAAAAAAAAAAATAAATAAAAATGACAAGAAAAAAAAAAGTCATCTCAGACATCTAATGAAAAAGTCATGATACTGGCTGCGTTGGTAAATGAATCTCTTAGATTAGTATAATTTAAAGATCCAGAAAATATGATATTTAAAGTGATATAATCCAAGACTATAGTTTTTTTTAAAAGTTGACTCTCTTTGTCTTGGTTTAAAAGATCTTAAACAGATCTTTTGCTTTATTTGCAGTTCTAGAATTGGGCAACACTTCGTCCCATGGTACAGGATATATGTATTTTTGCATAGGACAATTCAAAATGTTAAAGTAACTTAAGGACCAATCACTTCAGGATTCAGATTTATATATTCATTCATAATTGTGCCCTCCATATCTAAAGTACTCTGGTCCTAAAATTAATCTATTTTGCAAATATCTTTTTTTAAAGAAAGCACCTTCATATGTATCTCATATATTTTACAGTAATCTTTTCTGCCACAGGGGTGAGGTGACCTCCAGTCCTAGTGTTCTTCCCACAGCATCATGGTGCATATGGCATGTTAGTTGTGTCATGGGATTCTCTTACACCTGAGAACGTCAGTTTCTGCATGGCATACACTGTTCCCCTGCTCTGACACACAGTAACGACAATACTGAGTGTACTCAGGCATGGACCCTATTCCTTGACTCAGGAGGACTGAGTTAATGGCATCCAATGCAGGGTGATGAATGCCCTGGAAAGACAACACAGTGGGAATGGGAGGGGATGGCATGGAAGGAAGGATGCATTGCCAGAGTGATTAAAAAGTCTGAGTGGGGAGGGCACAATGGAGGGGAGAGGAGGACAATGGTAGGGAGGAGGAGACAAGACATGGGTCCAGGATTCTGACTTCAGGCTCTTATATTATTGAGAAGTGTGAATCCCCTACCCCTTCTTAGATGTTGGGACCCACTTCTTTCATGTGATGCCCATGGAGACCATCCAGACAGGACCTGGGTGTGCTAAGGCCACTTTCCCCAAGAGTGAAAGTGCTGAGGAATGATAGAGTCACATGGGAACTTAGCTTTTTAACTTGAGGGGGTAATGATACATTGTTATTCATCTGAGCTTTAAGAACCTTGTAAGGACTGGCAGTGACTCAAATGGTAGAACACCTGCCTAGCAAACGTGAAGCCCTGAGTTCAAACCCCAGAATCACACATACCAAAAAAAAAACAAAAACAGAAACAAAAACACCTTGTAAAGGCAGGGAAAGCAACAATTATTTCAGGGTTTTGGTTTTTTTTTTCCTCTTCAGTTGCTGGTTTTGTAGGGCTAGACCCTAGAATTGCTGCATGGCTCATAGATCCCAGTGATGCTGCACCTTCTTTTGAGGACTTAGTAGCAAAGCACCTTGAAAAGTCTATCATAGTCAAAGTGAGCAGCATGTGCAGAAACTCCTCAACAAGTATGGTGAGTCATTTTAAGAGGGGTATTATTCACCTTACTACAACCATGACTTTTTTTCTGAAACTTTTCCTACTTCACAAACAGCATAATAGCAAAAAGAACATTGCTGATTTTCATTTTCTTTTATTCTACACAAATGTTTTTGACCATGGCATTTCTGGTGAAGGATGGTGAATAAGATGGGAGATTTCCTGGGAAATACCATTCACAATGTGATTCATCTAACTAGATTCTCTGGCATCAAAGAGCCACCTGTTCCATGAGCAGAATGCTGCTCTTTTAGATATCCTTTGTGCTGATGACATAGCCACTATGGCCGAGCTCCTGGGACAGCCACTCAGTCCATGTGGGTAGAAGTTGATCTTTTAATATACAGGATCTTCCCTCATGGTGTTCTGAAGAGGTGGTGTAAATTGCTCAGAAAAATGGAAAGGATCTCAGGTAGAGGAACAGCGTAGGAATGGCAGGGCCTTGCAGACAATGGGCTTTTTGGGAAACAGCAAGGAAAGCTTGGGAAGGAGAAGGAGGGTCTGGGAGCCAGATACATGTGGGACTCTCAGGGTTCTGTGACATGCCAAGGAGCTGGCCCATCTTGGGATTATTCAAAGTGGAGGCATGTGGTCGTTTTGGAGTTGAGAAAGCTCCTATGGGAAGCCATGTGGAATTGTGCCAGGTGATAGCTGCAGACTTTGCATAGATGTGTTCCTCTACCTCGTGTCCTCTGATGAGTCTTCACAGGTGACCCAAGATCAGGACAACTAGAGAGCCATGCCATGGCATGTACATCAAGCCATAGGCCCGCTGGGCCACTCTAATCATCCGAGGCCTTTAGCAGAAAGCAGCCTGAACTGCCTGGAATGGGGTTATTCAATGGAGTAGGGTGTTGAGCAGGAGTTCCTGGGCTCCATGCCATAGGAGCACAGACTGTGTGCTGAGGGACTGTGCCTCATCCCATCTCCCTCTCTGTCTGTTGAAACAGCCCCTATTTGTCAGTCTCCCTACATTTCTGTAAGCATCCATCCTAGGATGAAAATGGATAGGCGAGTGTGGAATGTGGCAGTTGTGTGTGGGGTTACCAGGTGATAGAGCTGAGAGAGTGGAGGCTGTGGGATCTGAGATGTCTATGTTCTCACTCTGTCACCACTTGATCATTTGCATATGGTATGTAGCTTCTTTGTGGTTCTGTTTCTCAGTCTGTAAAATAGAGAGAACCCTGGTCTAGGAGAAAGTGTCTACCTATGCATAGCTTGCATTTGCACGATGGAGGTTCTTTCTGTAGAGGGAATCTTGGCTACTTGAAGCAATTGGTGAGGCCACCATATTGCCATTGAGCGCCTGCTACTAGGAACACTTTTGTGAGTCATGTCAATTCTCATGTAATACTGTGATAAACATTGCTGCCAAATTTGTCTAAATGTTAATACTTTTTACTTTTAAAGAATTGGAATATACAGGTGAACCTGAGGATACTCTACAGACTCACGATGGGACTTTGCTCCAAGTTGAAGGCAAGACATTTTATTACAAGTTATAGTTGTACAAGAGCTATCTTTTCATTCACAACCACTCATGACGCACAGTGGCAGTGTCTTGAATGTGAAGGAAGTTAAGTGTTTATTCAGGCCAGATTAACCTGCACCTAACTGAGAAAAGGGCAGACTGGAGTGGGAAGGCCTGAAGTTTGAAAATGGTTTCTGTAGTTTGACAACAATTATAACATGTTTCAAAGCCTCCCCTTTGCAGGGATGTTTCTAATGCCATAGCATTTATTTGTAGTCATGATATGGACACAACTTCCTCAATCAGCATTGGATTGGGAAGCCATGGTCATTGGAAGTGACAACCGAGAAGAGCTGTGTGCAGAGGCAGGGCGTAGTGAAGGGGACCAACAAGATGGAGAAGCCTCCAGAGACAGGCAATAGCCAGGGCTTTTTTACCCCGGGGCTCTAAGGCAAGCTATTTCTGTCCCCTCCTGCCCCCAGTCTTCTGTTAGGGCCCAAACAGAGAAACCCATGAGGGCAAACAGGGAGCCCACTGATCTTCCTAGAGGGAAGTCACCCTGCCTTGGGGCTCAGGGCCAGGCAGCGAATGGGTGTGGAGGGGCAGGCAGAGAAATCAGGAGAGCAAGGTTAGAAAGTCAGATGGCAGCAGGAAAGAGTAAAGACAAGGAAAACTTCAGTAAAGAGCATGGGAAGAGACATGGGTAAAAAGGGGAGGATTTCACACTCTTAGAGCAGGTGGCCTGACATAAAGATTCTGATGCTCCCCAGACTAGTTGGCAGTGGCAGTGCAAGATCAATGGAAACTGAGGTAAATTCATGGTTTTTCAGTAAGCCTATTCTGAAATTAAAATGGAAGACTAAAAATCCATAGCTAATTATCTTAAAAATGAGAACGACTGCTGGGCACTGATGGCTCACACCTATGATCCTAGCTACTCAGGAGGCAGAGATTAGGAGGATCAAGTTTCGAAGCCAACCCAGGCAAATAGTTCAAGAGACCTTATCTCAAAAATACCCATTACAAAAAAGACTGGTGGAGTAGTTCAAGTGGTAGAGTACCTGCCTAGCAAACATGAGACCCTGAGTTCAAACACCAGTAGAGAGAGAGAGAGAGAGAGAGAGAGAGAGAGAGAGAGAGAGAAGAAGAAGAAGAAGAAGAGGAAGAGGAAGAAGAAGAAGAAGAAAAGAAGAAAGAAGAAGAAGAAGAAAAAGAAGGAGGAAGAGAAAGAGAGGAACACTGGGTTAGAGGCATGGCCTCTATGACATTTCTGAATATCTCTAGCAGGTCTTGATAAAAATAAGATATTCAGTGGAAGCAGGAGTTTTATTGGGAAGAACAAAGGAGAAAAATAGATGGTGGGGAAGAAACCCACCCTGACAGGAGTTGTCTTAGTTCTAGAAGTCAAGAAGCTTTTCAGCAAAATGCATATAACAATTTAAAGTATCATTGATTTTATTTCTTCCTATGAAACAGGCTTATGGTTTATGGCAACTATTTTGTACTTTGGAGCTTCCTTTGATACCAATTTTGGCAGGTAAGTTGGCAAGTAAGATTCAGTGGTCATTTTTATAGAAAATCTTTACATTATTTGGAAATGAATCTTCTCTCTAGCTTACATAAGGATAGACACTTATCTCATGGGCTCAGAAGAGGTGACCAGCCCTTTATGTTCTCTTCTGCAGCAAGAGGGGTTGAGCTGCCTCACCTACTAGTTGAGAAATACCTCAAAGTTCCTGGTATTTGGCCATACAGGACCCCTCATGTTCTGTCTGACAGGAGGAGCTCAGTGACATTGTCTGAAAATCCTGACTAATTCTCTAGTCCCATGTTCCTCTCTCTTAGCTTGATGGAGTCTTGAGACACTCCCTATAAGCACCCACAGGGCTCTTTTTCACCTCTGTCTCTGACCAAGGCCTGTTGACATACAAGCCTTGTCATCCAGGGCAACTCTCCATCTAGATAATGTGAAGGCCAGGGCAGAGCTGACCAGTGCAAGCCCTATGCCACTCCCACCCAAAGGCCAGCTATGTTGAAGCTCCAGTTTGCTCACTGCATCAGGAGGTCCTGATGGACCTTCTGCAGAGGCTGAGTAAACAGGAGCTGCTATCATCAGGGTCTTCATCAGGGAGTGGGGCTCTTTAGTCTACTGAAAAGGATTCATTAATGCAATATGAATATTTGCTTTGAATTTTGAATCAGTGATGGAAAACCACAGGATTCAGGTGAACAAAGCAGAAATGGAGAAGACATCAGCACTTCTTGGGGTAAGCTGTTCTTTCAGACTCCTCATACTTGTGCTTTTTTTTCGCACTCTGCTTAGCCCCATACTGTTGTTGACACTGCTCTTCCTTCTCTCAGATTTCTGGAGGGGAGGGCCAAATGCTGAAGGATTTCAACCACAGTGCCTCTAGCGTGTATGTGTGTGTGCATGTGCATGTGTGTGTATGTGGGGCATGCATTGCATCTGCTGTGTACATGTATGTGGGGCCATGCAGTACAGCTACTGCGTATGTGGGGAGGTTCTTTTATATATATATATTTTTCTTCATATGTGCATACAATGTTTGGGTCATTTCTCCCTTCTGCCCCCCACCCCCTCCCTTACCTACCCCACCCTGTGGGGAGGTTCTTTAAGGGAACTTCAGGGTCCTTCTCAAAAGTTAGATTTTCCTTGCAGAGACATTGTCCCTACAGTTTGGTGAAGTAATTCTTGGGTTTCTTAAAAAATACTTAGAATGATGCATAAAAATGTCCCACTTAGATTGATGGAGGGGGTGAATTCAACTATGATATAATGTAAGAACTTTGCTAAATGTCACAATGTACCCTCAGTAAAACATAATAAAAAAAGATTTTAAAAAGTGTTCCTCCTCAGATACCTTAAAAGAAAACTCTGGCATAACTATTATCTGGGTTAAGGCATGGCATTGCAGACCCCTGCGTGCTTTGCCTGCCAGAAATCCCATCCTCCTGCTTAAAGTAACCACCACCTCATTGATGATGGTGTCAGCAGTTTTCCTATCACCAATGACTGTTAGGAGTTTCCTTTTGTAAAGGGTTTACTCAAGTCTTTTACTCTCTTTAACGTCTTCTAATTTATAGGACACCTCGATATATTCTGATGAACCTGTTACATATACCTTTCTTTCTGTCTTGTTTCATGTACTTAACATCCCTTTTCTAGTCCTAATATTGCTGGAAAAGGCATTCTTTCCTCCCTCATTTTGGTGTATTATTATTATTATTATTATTGCTTTTTTCAGTTTGTTTTCACAGGTTTGGTGTAGGGTGATTCTATAAGCCTGAAATCTCCAGTATACACACACACACACACACACACACACACACACACACACACACACATACATATATATATAGTCTTTAAAAATATAAATATAATGTCCATTTTGATAAGCTATAGATTACTTGTTATTCCATTAAGGGCTTTTGTTGTGGGCTAGTGGAGTGGCTTAGGAGTTCCTGAGTTCAAACCCCAGGACCACCACAAAAAAAAAAAAAAAAAAGGTAGGTCTTTTGTTGTGAATCATTTGATGAAAGAGTAAATAATTTTAAATTGTAAGAACTGAGAATGAGATTGTATTTATCGCATTTTCAGGCTCGCCTCAAGGAACTGGAGCAAGAAGCCCATTTTGTTGCAGGAGAGCAGTTTCTTATAATGAGTAATAATCAGCTTCGTGAGGTAATAGTAAATTTTTATCTTTCAGAAAATAATTTCTTATTCAGGAGTTAAAAGGGAGGTTTATTCTGAATTTATGAATTTATCTTAGATTGATTAAAAAGTATTATAACATGCTCATGTTCACAAATGATGGCCACATCGACATTCATTACCTCAATGTCTGTAAGAATCTAAGCAACTTGTAATGTCTATTTGAGTGTGTCTCTTCTGGCTATTGGCTTTAACTATAATAGGGATGCTTATTTCCTCAGAGCTGGATCTCTCTGACATGTGTGCATTGTTTTTGTTGAAGATCCTCTTTGGGAAGTTAAAGCTACACCTGTTGAGTCAGAAGCATCTTCCCAGAACAGGGCTGCAGCAGTACCCATCCACATCAGAGACCGTGGTAAGGTTCCAGTGTCCTTCTTTCTGACATGCTCATTCATCTGCATCAGCTGGGGGTTGCCCCCCGCCCCGCCATGCCAGCAGCAGCCTCCACAGGCCACGTATTCCCACTTATGGTTGTGCTCTTGGCTGTGAATCAGGAGAGTGGACAGATGCCCTCCAAGAGCAGTCGGCTGGCTGAACTTCTGGCAAAGGATAATTTGATGGACTTTGTCCTTAAAACAAATTCTTTTTTTGTTTGGTTTTGAATCAGGGTTTTACTGTGTAGCCCAAGCTTGCCTCAAACTTGAGATCTTCCTGCCCCAGCCTCCAGTAAGTGCTGGGATTACTGAAGTGTTCCACCACACCTGACTTAAATTCTTGACAATGCAGTCGTGACTTCTTTGTTTCATGTTCCCGAAAGGGACTGGAAATGAGGAAGGTCATTAGTCCTTTTCCCCAAATTTATTTTAGAGAATTATAGCTACTCGTTCCTTGAGAGGAATAAATTTTTAAAAAGACAAAGAATAGGGAGGTTCTGCACTATTTGGGGTCAGGGTATAAATAGATGTTCAAAGCTGACAAATAGTTTTATTGAAGGCACTGAGTAAATGGATCCGTTATGGGGAGAGCAGCTACAGAAGCTGTGCTTTGTACTTCCTGTACCATTCATTTTTTGCCGTTGTGACAGGGAATCCTCCTGAGATTCCTATGGCAGCACTGACTCTATAGCACTGTATGTTTGCTCTACTCAGCCCTCACAGAGTCTTCACTCACTGACTCCCCATACCTGGCCCAACTCAGTGAGAGGTTACTGGGAGAATATATCTCCCTCTAGGGAGGGCCTTGAAACCACCCTCCTCCAGATTCTGTTCTTCACTCCAGGTCCTGGAGAGGCAGTGTGGAGTAGTGGGGCCAGAGGTGGGGAAGGATGGGTCAGCCACTATGCCCACTAACCACCATACCTGATTGGTCTGTGCCTCAGTTTTCAGGAAGTAGTAGTACTTTTCCTACTGGAATCTTGTGAAGTTTGAATGGGAATATGTGTGCCTGTGTGTGAATCCAACAAAAATAAAGACAGCCTGACATAACAGACTCAAAAAACCAGTAAGAGTTGGCTATTATTGGTAGCCACTCCTACCAAGCACCTGGGGGTCATTGTTGACTCACCTACACAAGTTCCATGGTCTCTTCCTATAAAATGTGCCCCATCTTCACCACACCATCTTTGTCTTCTCTTACTTGAATCATTGCAAATCTCCTATCCAAACCGCTGCTTCTACTCCTACCTGTCTCAAAAGCATTAGAAAGAGTCTGTTGCTGCCCTGACTAAAACTTCCAGTGGCTTCCCATCACACTCGGAATCAAACCCAAGCTCTTGAGCATGTCCCTAGTTGGTAGGTCTGGCTCTTGCCCTGGCCACAGCACTTCTCTCTGAGTACATTGACTGCCTTTGGCTCTTTTGCCCACGCTCTTTCCACAGTCCCAAGACTCTGACTACGGATTTTACCTGCTGGTTTCTGATTGTCAGCTTATTGTTTTTAGAAGACCTTCTGGTCACACAGACTGATGATAAAGCCCTTAGTCACTCTCTGTTTCTTCACCTTGATTTATTGTCTGCACACAACTTACCATTACCTCAGCCTTACCCATGGCTTGCTTATTCTTCTAGTGTGTACTCTGCACACTTCAAAGTCCTCATTTTTTCCCAGAACCAAAATAGCCTAGACTAGTGCCTGGTGGGGCTGAACAAAATGTCTGTTCATAGAGCACTGGGATAACAGGTGTTCCTGGAAGTTGGGCCCCATCCAGCTTGGATCTCACCCCTACATGGCAAAGGTGGGCAGTGAGCCCTAAACCTCTAGGAGTAGCACCACCTGGGAAAGTCATGCATGGCCCTCAGGGGACTGCACCTGCAGGCACTTTATTTTCTGTCCTAGCACCAGCTGGCACTGTTGCCTTTCCTTGCAGCTCCTTCCACTCTCTAGTCAGCCAACTGTATAAGACTCTCATAGTTTTGATGTGTTTTCCTGTGACAGAGTTGAGACATTGACTTTAATGAGGCGACTAATTTTTCCACAGACATGATCAACATAAATCATATTGTCCTCACTGTCCTGTTTAGCTGAGTAAATCATGCTATTCATTTTGTGCATTTAAAAGGTGGCTTTATGAGGTAATGCATGCTCATTGCTGTAAATTCAAAATTAAGGCTCCTTCCTGCTACTTCCCAGAGTGTAGTGAACCTTGTGGCTCCTCCCACCAGCTCCTGCCCCTTCTCCCTACCCCTTTCCTCCATAGTGCCCCTGGCTGATGATTGTGTCCAGACTTTATGCATGGGTTGTTACTGCTTAGCTCCCCAGACTGATTTGGGATTTAGCTCTAGGAAGGCATGGTCCTCACTTTGTTCCTGGAGTTCTCCCAAGGCCTAGAAAAATGCCTGGGGCCCAGTGACTCCCTCAAGTTTGCACACTGACTATTGTTTTCATATTGTTTCATTCTACATATTTTATATATACATTATTATATATACATATGTATGTTGGCAAGTTTTGCTTTTTTCTTCACCATTTTCTTTTCTCTCTCTTTTTTTTGGGGGGAAGGGGTTGTTTGAACTCAGGGCCTCACTCCTGCTAGGCAGGCACTCTACCACTTGAGCCCCTCCGCCAGCCCTGTTTCGGTTGGGTATTTTCAAGATAGGGTCTTAAGAACTATTTGCCTAGGCTGGCTTCAAATCATGCTCCTCCTGATCTCTGCCTCCTGAGTAGCTAGAATTACAGATATGAGCCACTGCACCCACCACCATTTTCTTGCTTCCTTTTTTTTTTTTGTTTTTAAACATTTTTATTAGTATATTATAGTTAACGGGGGTTTCACTGTGACATTTCCCCTGGTTTGGTTCATCTCCTCCATTATTCTCCCTCTGTCCCCACTCCCCTCTCATTTCCATTATGATTCTTCTTTGATCACTGAATTGTTTGAAAGTATGTCTTAAAATGTACAAATCTGTAGGGGCTTCCCAGATATTTTGCTGTTGATTTCTAGGGTAAAAGTACCATGGTTAGAGAACATGGTCTTTACAACACTAGTTTTCTGACTCGAGCCATCAGGGCTCACTGACCATGCAGGATCATGTTCTAGAGACCTCTAGTGTCCAGCTGCAAGTCTCCTTCCCCATGCTCTTCTGCTGGGGAACAGTGGGAATTCCCACCCCTCAGTAGACACACAGTGAGAAACAAGGGTTCCTTCTTAGCCACAAACTGAAGGTGGCTTTGATATTTTTCTCCAGTGAACTCACATGTTCTCGGAGCATTGTAGGGGATTCTGATGCTGAGAAAGTGGTCTGGTCTTGGGGTCATGCTGCTGTATTGTAGACTAGCCAGTCATCATTTCTGGGAGTGGCTTTTAATTCACTGAAATGACAGGGGTATCCATGTCATCCATATATACCCTCCGCTGGGTCTGCATACTGCTAGGCTTTGGGATACAGCCATGAATAGGACTGATGGCTTCCCTGTTTTATGCAGCCAACATTTATTGTGGCCCTTGCTCTGTCTTAGACACTGTTTACAGTTTGGTGGGAAAAGGTCTTTGTCATCATGAAATAGCTGTTCCAGTGAGGAACTACATTAGTCAGGGTTCTGCAGAGGGACAGAACCAATAAGATATATATAGATATAGTTATACGAGAGGGGATTTATTAAGGAGAATTGGCTCATGAGATTATGGAGGCTGAGAAGTCCCACAATAGGCCTTCTGCAAGCTGGAGACCCAGAGATACCTGTAGTGTATCTCAGCCCAAGTCCCAAAGCCTTAGCCCAGGGAAGCTGTTAGTGTAACTCCTAGTCCAAGGTCAGAGGCCTAAGACCCCAGGGGGCCACTGGTGTTAAGTCCTGAAGTCCAAAGGTCTAAGAGCCTGGAGTTCTAATTTCAAAGGCAGGGGAAGGATGCCCCAGCTCCAGAGAGAGTGAAAATTCACCTTTTATTTGCTTTTTTTTGTTCTATTGGACCTGGCTAATTGGACGGAGCTGCTTACATTGAGGGTAGATCTTCTCCTACTCATCCTAACACTCACCTTTGAACACCCTCACAGACACACCAGAGGAAATGCCTCACCAGCCCCCTAGTTATTCCTTAATCTAGTTAAGTTGAACATCACAGGAACATACTTATCTAAGGGGGATAAGATCTATTCAAATTAAGGCAGGATTCTGAGAAAAATTCCAGGAAGAGTGGCACACTAGACTGAGCTACCCAGAAAGAACTCTGAAGAAATGACATATAAACAGAAGCTTGAAGCTAAGGACCTGCTCATGCCAAGAATGGGGAGCAGGGCCTGGCAATGTGGGGCTACAGCTGCCCAGGTTTCTGAGGCTGCAGCCTTGTGACCAATTAAGAGGTTAGACAAGGACCCCATTATGCTGTGTCTGCAGACCACTGTAGGGGAAATGCAGGCTTTTTATTAGCATATGGGTAGCTTTGGAATGGATCTTAGATATGTTTTTTAATAGGTTATTTTTCAGAGCAGTTTCAGGTTCACAAAATAATCCAGCAGAAAATATAGCTTCCATATGTTCCCTGCCCCACACCACACATTTTCCACTACCAATGTCCCCCACAATGATACATTTATGACAGTTGAGGAATCTTCACTGACACATTGTAATCATCCACCTTGGTGCTGACCTGTGGGTTTGGATGAGTATATAATGACACGTATCCACTATTATTGTATCATGCAGAGTAGTTTCCCTGCCCTAACAGCCCTCTGTGCTCTGCATGTTCATCCCTGTCTTTTCTGATCCCTGGAAACCACTGATCTTTTTACTGTTTCCAAAGTTGTCTGTTCCAGAATGTCATAATCAGAAGTTAGAATTGCACAGTGTGTAGTCTTTTCAGAGTAGGTCCTTTCCCTTAGCAGTGTGGACATAAGTTTCTTCCATGTCTTTTCATGGCTTGACAGCCATTTCTTTTTAGTGCTGAATAATATTCCACAGATTATTTATCTGTTCATTTGCTTCCATTCAAATTGTGGCCATTAGAATAAAGCTGTTACAGATATCTATAGGCTTTCGTGTAGACATAAGTTTTCAACTCCTTGGGTAAATATGCTGAATCATATGGTAAGAGTACATTAAGTTTAAGAAGGTTTCATTAAGCAGGTTTGGAGTTTTCCTCCAAAGTGGCTGTGCCATTTCACATTCCACTGGCATTGAGTGAGAGTCCCTGTTGTTCCACATCCTCATCAGCATTTGGTGTCATCAGGTTTTGTACTTTCACCATTCTAGAAGATGTTAAATATGTTTAAAAGATCACTCTTGTGTCTGGTTAGAGAGAGGAGGAGGCTCCAGATTTTGTCAGTATTATCCAGGTGATGGCAGTGAAATGGAGCAGAGCAGATAGGTTTTTCAGAGCATTTTTAAAATAGAAAGGACCTCTTGGTACGTCCATGTGAGTGTAAATAACATTGAGGATGTATAGCTCTGGGTTTCTGAGTTGTGCACCTCTGCAGATACATATGGCCAATACTCAAGGAAAGTGGGAAGAGGAACAGTTTATTTGTGGGGTGTCAATTTTCTAATTGTGGGCATGTCAGAAGTGTACATGAGGCCTTGTTACCAGGCTGTGTCACCTGGGTAGTTGTGTCTATAGGATATAGATAGAGACAAGTTATGTGTTGGAGTTGCACACACACAAGCTGTCAGTCAATTTCTATTGCAGTTGCCCATAGAGATTTAGAAGACTCAGGCACACAACTGATCCACTGAGTCAAAATTGGCCAGGGGCCTAGCCACAAGGCTGTTTTTAAGCTTCTCCTGCTGATCTTGATATGTGGCCAGCATTGCAAAACACAGAGTTGAACTCTGAGAAATTGACACTTAGAGGTCAGAGAGAGGAGGCGCCAGTAGGAGACTGTGGAGTGGCAGAGTGGAAGGGCAGTCAGAAGAATGTGATGTCAGTGCCAACACTGCCTCTGATAAAGCTGCAGGTTTGCAGATATCTTATGGCCCCTGCCTCTGATCCTTAACCAACATTTGCAGTACTTTATACACAGTTTTATGTGATCAAATACTTAATACTTTTTTAAGTGTCTCAGGCTGCTCGTGTAAAGATACATGGGAAGACTGTTGGCTAGAAAGTTATTTAGTGAGTAAGGTATGGAGATAAGGAGAGGTAGGTGACCTAGGCAGGTTTCTTGCATAGGTATTGTCCTGCACTTCAGTTAGTTTTTCAAAAACAGAAAAAATAAATAAAACCCTGCAGTTTTGGATTCTGCTGAGGCAAGTGTCTTCCCTCTGGGCAGTGCCTGTATCTGAAGACATCCATGCTGACTTCAAATTGTGCTTCCATGGTTATGACTATGTCTTCAGCCTTTATTCAGGTGGAAACTGATACAATTCAGTAGTGCACAGGATTACATTGAAATCATATCAACAAGGTATGGTGGCACACACCTATAATCCCAGCTATTCTGGAGGTGGAGGCAAAGGCAAGAGGATCAAAAAGGTAGTGAGACCCTATCACAAAAAAACAAAATACAAACGAAAGGGCTAGAGGCACGGCTGAAATAGTAGAGCACTGGCCTAGCATGTGCAATGCCCTGGATTTCATCCCTAGTACTAGGAAAACTCGTAGGCCCTCCTTGCCCCAAGTTGTTTTATATATTCTAAACAATCCTAACTGGACTGGAGGCATGGGATAGAGAGCCTGCTTTCAAGTGCAAAGCCCTGAGCTCAAACCCCAGGCCTACAAAAATAAATAAACAACCCTAATTAAAGCCCTGACAGGAGATTTTTGGTAGAGAAGTTGACAGGCTGATTCCCAGATTTATATGGAAACACAAGAAAAAAAAAAACCTTAGAAGAGTCAAGGCCATAATGGAGGTGTGCTATTATAGTATGTAGTCGATTGGATATCAAGCTTAATTAGAAAGTATAGGAATTACTAGCAACTAATTAATGCCATTTGGTGTTGACTCAAGGATAAGCAAATAGACCAGTGCACCAAGACAGAAAATTCACAAGCAAACCTCCACATGTGTGTCTAGAACACATGATTTTGGACAGGGCAGTGCTGCAAAGCAATAATGAGGAAGGAAGACTCATGACAGAGATGCTGCAGAGACAGTCATCTTAACCTTCATTTCACCCTGTTCTCAAAAATAAAATTCAAGTGAATTATATATCTAGATACAAAAAAATAGAACACTAGACTAGAGAAATACCATAAAAAATACTTCAGTAACTTGAAGGAGGTAAACATTCATAAAGAGGACCCAAGATGCACCAACCATAATGGAAAAGATTGATAAATTGGGCAGAAGTAAAAATTAAGAACCTCTCTAATGGGTTCTGTTAAACAAGTAAAACTGCATGCCACAGAAGGAGGGAAGACACCTCCAATAAATATAACTTATCCCAAAGCCCTGTTTAGAACAATAAATTCCCACAATCAAGAAGGAAAAGACCCAAACCAATTTTTAAATAAGCAAAAGAAACAAATGGGTTTTAATGAATGTGTGTGTATATATAAATAAATAAATATATATTCAGTCAATAATTGTTGGTGTCCTCCCTCCCTCTCTCCCTCCTTTTCTCCCTCCCTCCCTTTCTCCCTCCCTCCCTTCCTTTCTTTTCTCTTTCCCTTTCCTTTCCTTTTTTTTTTATCAGTACTGGGGTTTGAACTGAGGGCCTTGAACTTCCTAGGCAGGTGCTCTACCACTTGAAACATGCTCCTCCCCCAGTCCTTTTGGTATTATTTTTTTAAATAGGGTCTTTCATTTTTGCCAGTGGTCAGCTTTAACCCATGATCCTCCATACCTCCCACATGGCTGGGACTGCAATGTGAACCACCATGCCAGGTTTATTTGTCAAGATGAGAGTCTCACTAACTTTTTGCCTGGACTGGTCTTGAACCTCTATCCTCCCTATCTCCTCTGCGTAAGTAGCTGAGTGTGAGCCACTGCACTCAGCTTGCTTTGTTTTCGTTTGTGTTTTGAGACAGGGTCTCACTCTGTAACTCATACTGGCTTATAACTACAGATTCTTCTCCTTCAGCCTCTTGATTACTGGCTATATGCACCACTAGTAAACACCACCGTGGCTGGCTAGATTTCACTAATTTAAAATCTCAATAGGACTCTTGTCTCTAAGGTCATGTGACATGCTTTTAGCTCCTAGGTGGACATCAGAGAGATTTTGTCAGGGGTTAGGATTAGGATTGTTTAATTTGGATTTGTTACAAATCCTCATTTTGAGAAATGTAACCATTTCCACCACTTACTACTAGGATTTTCTCCAACTGAAAACTAAGTTATTTAAAATGTTGAAATAGAGAAATTACACTGGTAATATATATTTTTTCATTTTGTAGTTAAATTCCCTGCGAGACCTTCATCCATTACCCAAGATAATTTCGGAATATAGACAGGTAAGTTGACTTTTTTGTAAGTGATTTGTGATGAAGGCGAACCATCTGGTCCCGTCTCTGTTAACATACTCAAATTTGCTAAGGCACACTAAAAGTGTTATGAGTGGATCCAGTTTTCTCAGTCACTCTTGTGTCAGTCCTGCATCCTTAAACCTTGATGTGATCTTACACCTGAGTCCACCTTGCCCAGCACTGGGAACCCAAGGAGTCATACATGGAAGGGGATTTGTGGCTTCAGTATGAATGCAACTTCCACTTGTACCCACAAAAGTCCCTACCATTCCCCTGGTTTCCAGCCTCCAGGGCAGAATTTTCTCTTTGCTCAGTAACATTTGCCAGGGGGTTAATGATATGCCCCTTTTTCTCTGCCGGTTACTTCCCAAGTTTTCTTTTGTTCATGAATCACATTTGTAATTTTCCATTGCCCAGGCTACTGGTCCTATTATTTACTGAGCTTGTAGCCTGCTGTCCCTGTGTAAGAGCACAATGGTACTACACTGACCCTTCCTCTTGCAGTGATGTGAGGATTGGGAGAGAGCTAGAAAGGGTCTACTGCTGGGGACACTAGGCCGGGTATTTGTTAATCTGTTTATCTTTCCAAGTAAATCTAGAAATATTACAAAATAATACATTTATTTTAAAAGGGGTGGGTAGCATCTTTCTCCATGGGCCAGTGTCATTCAACCCTGTCATCACCTAAGGTCATCCAAGGTAAGTTCAGCAGCATATGCCTGGCCCTGTGTGAAACTCTGCTCCGGAGTTTGTTCCTATTTGAATAAACAGAGAAAATGACTACTTTGTCTTTGTGATTTAGGTTCACAAGATCAAATCAACCTTTGTAGACGGATTACTAGCCTATATGGAAAAGGTAACTGAGGCCTAAAAAGAAATTGGGATTAGAAATATGTCCTATGCATGAGCTCAGACACATAGAGCACTCACAGTCCACTAAGTGATTAGGTACTCTAATATTCTTGGAACCACAGACCCAGGTCTCCGCACAGTGCAGGTTGCTGATAGGCCTTAAGACCTTCCATTCGTAAGGCAGCTCTGCATTCTGGTCTCCTGCTTTTGCACCTACCATTGTGTCTCTTTTCCGAACTATTCACACATGAGGAGACTGCTGTCAGAGATGTTCTGTGGCTTGTTTGAGGCCATGCAGCAGTGATAGCACCATCTGTGCCACACAGTCCCACCTAGAGTCTGTGCCAAGTTCCCATAGCCCCTTGGACCCCCCTTGCCCCACTCATGGAGTTTGTAAGTGACATAGACCAACTTGTCCTGTTGCTGCTGCTTCTTAGGCTAGAGGAGAACAACCACCCCTGATCAGGAGTTTTAAACCCTAGGATTTTTCGGGTTTGGGAGTTCAGGGCCAGCAGTTATTGACCTCTGGAGAAGCAGTGAGTGTTGTGTTGTAGGTGAAAGGCCCAGGGTCTCTTACTTCATACAGCATTGCCTGAGTTTCAACTAAATCTTTTCAACTGATCAAGGACTCCATTTCTTCAACATGGAATCAGACTGGAACTGTGACCGGAAGACTTTCAGCCAAGCATCCTGTGAGTTAAATGCCAACTTTCATGCCTTGACATTCTCGTGCTGATAGCTTTGTTTGATCCTGTGTGTTCATTACATTGATGTTTACATGACTGCTCTGTTCTGGCGGCAAGACTCACAAGGGCTGAGTGGGTTGGGAGACTCTCCCCGCCCAGCAGGCTTGGGCACTCCAGTGCTGAGGGCAGAGGAAGCCCACATTCTCCCCCATCTGCCTTCTCAGTTTGTGCTGGACAGACAGGTGGCTTCTGATTTCCAGAAGTGTCTCTGATGGCTATCTCCACACGTTTAGTTATTGAAGACCATTTCTGATTAAAAGAGCTATAAATGCCATTGAGTTTATTATGTAACTTCAATAGCACTGGAAACAGCTTTTAAAATGGCTTTACATTTCTGACAGAAAGCAGACTTGTTACTAATTTCTCAGTACAGAAAAGAAATAGAAACTACCAAAACTCTCCTTTATTCCACATGCAGAGGCAACTGTGGTTAACATCCAGTGTCTGTCTTTCCATACTTTTTGCTAAGCACATATATTCATAAAATACCATTTTTCTATAAAAATAAAATCATGCTGTTTTATTTTATGCTTAAATTTAATATATCTTAATATCATATATCAATCTTTCTATATTTAGATTAAATATATAAGTTAAATATGTGAATTATTTAAATATAGACTATATAGCATATATAATTATAAATATATGTTCATGGTAAAGAAATTCAAGTAATGTAGAAACTTATAGAATAAGAAAATGTAGCCAGATGTGGTGTTTCACTCCTGTAGTTCCAGTTACTTGGAAGGCTGAGGCAGGAGGATCAAGAGTTCAAAGCCAGCTTGGGCAGTTAGCAAGATGCTGTCTGAGAAACAAAAATACAAGAAAAGGGCTGGGAACGTGGTTCAGGCGGTAGAACGCTTGCCTATTACGCATGAGGTGAGACCCTGGATTTAATCCCTAGGACTGAGGTGTTGGGGGGAACTTGCTTTTCTCCGTCAGCACCTGTTTATGACAGTCTCATTTCACTCTTGCCATTGTGCGCTCTGCACAGGGGTATGTTGTGCCACTGACCCTGCTGTGTTGGTGCTGCTGTGTTTGTGGGGTACATTTTCAGGTGTGAAATCACTGGGTCAAAGGATATTCCATTCTTACTTTCCATAGCTTTACCAGATAGCCTTCTAACCATGTTTAGCCTTGTCTTTGCCATGAGCCACATGTGGCAGTGCTCTCTTCAACACTGGTGGCTCTCCCTGTGCTGTAGCTACTTATTGGTCATGTCTTTGTATCATCTTAGAAGGCTTTCCTTGATTAAGATTATTTCATTGCTTACCTCTATCTCCCTATAACATTACTGCTTTTATTTCTTTACACATAAAACTTGAATCCAGCCATGCATTATTTAACCAGGTACATTGCCATCAGTTGACTGGAGTTTGAATTAATTTTTTTCCTTCCTTTGCTCCTGGGATCAAACCCAGGAATTTGTGCATGCTAGGCAAGCACTCTACCACTGAGCTACACACATGATTAATATTAGCCCTGATTAATATTTTAAAAAATCAGTTCTAACAGTTTTCAGTATTTTATGAAATCTCATTTTCTCACACACGCCCTCCTGAGAGAAAGTCATTGCTATCAGCTAACTCTGTTGCAGTGCCTTACCACCCACCTTGTGTTATTCTGCTTCCTGTTGTTTCTGATAATAAGAAAATGTAAAATGTTTGTATCTTTTGGTTCACCTGCTTCTTTCTCCCTATTTTGACATTTTAAGAAGCAGTAACAGGTTATGGTTTATTTAAGAACTGTGAAATAGTAGTCAATTCAATTGATTAAACTCCAGTCTCTGCAATGTATATATAGTAAACACATCAAACATTTTTACAATAGCCCTTTTAAAGTCTTTGTCAGAAAATACAAACATTTGAAGGGCTGGGAATATAATTCAGTGGCAAAGTGCTTGCCAAGCATGCACAGGACCCCAGGTTCAGTCCCAGCACTGCCAAAGGAAGAAAATACCAACATTTGTATCATCTTTTGACTTTTTGTTATCTTTTGACTTTTTCCATGTGAGTTGAGATTTGCCTACTTTTTTTTTCATGTGTCTAATAATTTGGGGTTGTTTACTTGACATTTTGAATGTTATGAGAGTCAAGGCCTTGTTTTAAAATTCCACTAAAATGATGATACTTTTATTTTAGTGGCCAAAAAAAAAAAGGCTTAGACCTCAAGTTCTGACCTGTCACCCATGTGTAGTGGTACCCCTCTATTGTCAGGTTTTCAAAGCCTTCACAGTTGCCCACTTGACAGCCACCCAGTGGTCAGTCTAGGAATTGGGCTGCATTTTGTTTGCTCCTTGATCAGTCTTCACATGCTGTTCAAGAAGAAGCTACTCAGGTGCACTGGAGGCTGAGCCCCATGGTTTATAAACAACACTGCAATGTTGTATTCTTGAGCCCCTCTCTCTCCATGGCCACTCTGGTTTTCTTCTGGTTCTTTGGCACCCCCCCCCCCACTTTATGGTTTTCTAACCAGAAATATGAGGCATTAGTAACCTGACTCTCTTGCACACTTCCTGCCACTGGTCCCATGTGCAGGACCAAGCAGTGGGGGATCAAGTAAGCAAGTGGTCAACTCTACCTGTCCCATAGTGTTTTGGATTCTGGCCTGCCTGTCCAGTCTGCCTCCTGCTGCTCACTTAGCAGAATCTGTGGGTTGCAGCCCTGTGCATTCTGTCCAGGTTTTATAGCTATATGCAGCAGAGTGTGCTTACTGTATCTTACCAGGAATAAGAGCCTCAACTGCATTTTTAGCAGCATTATTGAAATAAAATTAATATACCAGAAGCTTCACATATCACAAACAATTTGATGAATTTTGACATATGTATACAACCATAAAACCATCTCCACAATCAAAATAGTAGACATATCCATCACCCCAAAGGATCCTTGTGCCCTTTGTAATGTCTCTCCCCAACTTGTATACATGTTCTGGGCAACTACCAACTTATTTTTTGTTGCTAATGATCTATCAGAATTCACCTTCTGGAACTTTATATCTGTGGAGTAGATACTCTTTTTATCTGACTTCTTTTGCATTATTATTATTTTTATCTGTTTTTGAATAGTTCATGAATAGTTCATTCATTTTTATTGTTGAGCAATATTCCATTGAATCTGTGTGCCCAGTTTGTTTCCAAGTTCATCTATTGATCCATTGTCAGTTGTCTCCAGTTTGGAATATCACCATGCACATTCATGCACATTTCCAAATAAATATGTACTTTTTTTAAATTTTGAGTAAAGCCAAGGAGTCAAATAGCTGAGTTAAATGGTAGTTAAATGTTTCACTTGTTAAGTGCTGGTTCTGTCATTTGGCATGCCTACTAGCAGTGGATGAGGGTTCCATTTTCTTCACATCCTAGGTATGGTGGTGTGCACCAGTCATCCCATCTATGTAGGAAGTGTCAATTGGAGGACGATGGTCCAGACTGGCATGAGCACAAATATGAGATCCTATTAAAAAAATTACTAAAGCAAAAAAGGCTGGGGGCATGACTCAAGTGGTAGAACACCTGTATTACAAGCATAAGGCTCTGAGTTCAAACCCCAGTATGGCAAAAAGGAAGAAAGAAAATCTGCTGAGATTTTTGTTGAGATGACATTGAATCTAGAACCCAACTTGGGTTCTAGAATTGACATCTTAATATTGAGTCATCCATCCTATGAAAAAGGTGAATCTCTTTATTTATTTAGACCTTTACTTCTCTCAGCAAGGTTTTATAGTTTCCAGAGCACAGATTGTTTAATGTTTTGTCAGACTTATCTCTTCAGTATTTCATTTTTATACTATTATAAATAGTATTTTGGTTTCGATTCCCAGTTGTTCATTGCTTTTTATTATTTGCATTCTGGAACCTTGGTGAGCTCACTTACTTGTTCTAATGGATGATCATGGTGTATGTAAACAAAAAGTTCACTTTTTCCTTTCCAGTATGGATTCCTCTTACTTATTTTTTCTTGCCTTGACTGCAGTGATCAAAACATTCTACGCCATGATGAATAGAAGTGGTGAGAGCAGATATCTTGTCTTTTGACCTTATTGGAAAGCATTTAGTCTTTCATTGGTGAGAATGATGCTAGTTGTGAGTTTCCTTAGCCAGCTTGAGGAAGTTCCTTTCTATTAGCGGCTTGGTGAGAGCTTTTATATGGATATTGGATTTTGTCAAATTCTCCTGCATCCACTGAGATAATTAGATGATTTTTCTTTCTAGTTTATTAATACGGTGAATCACACTGGTAGGTTTTCAAATATTAAACCAGCTCTGCATTCCTGGAATAAAGCCCATTTTCTCTTGATGTATTATCCTTTTTATATATTATTGGATTATATTTACTAAAATTTTGAATAGAAATTTTGCATCTATTTTAATGAGGGCCATTTGTTTGTAGTTTTATATCTTGGAATCGTGGGCATGATGACTTCAAATAATGAATTAGAAGTATCCTCTTCAACTTTCTGGAAGAATTTGTGTAGAATTGGCTTTAATTCTTCATTTGATTGATAGCATTCACTAGTGAAGCCATCTGGGCCTGAAATTTTCTTCGCAGGAAGGTTTTAAAACTATGAATTCAACTTCTTAACAGACATAGATAATAGGATATCTATAACAGACATAGATAATAGATAATTCAGGTTATCTATTTATCCTTGGGTTGGTAGTTTATGTCTTTTAAAGAATTTGTCCATTTCTTCTGATTTGTTGAATTTATGACAAAGTGTTCCTTTATTCTTTTAATATCTGTAGAATCTGTCTGTAGTGATGTTACCTCTCTCACTCTTGATATTGGTAATTTGTGCCTTTTTTTTTTTTATTGATGGCACTGGGGTTTAAACACAAGGCCTTCTGCTTGCTAGGTGGGTACTCCACCATTTAAACCACTCTGCGTCTTACTTTAGATTTTAGACCAATCTGGCTAAAGGTTTATCTATTTTACTGATTT